AGTTCATTTTTTATTAGTGTTTTCTTAAAACTCTTTTAAAAAATAATTTTTAGGTATTCGACCTACCTGACCCAAAAGGCCGATGGCGACTCCCAAATTATTTATTTTCAAAATTATTTATTCACATCAATTTTCCCGCCAAATTTAATATTTCGTGCCCGGACGAAAACCGGTTACGACAGCTTGGCGACTCCGCTGGGGACTGGTCAAACTTTAAAATCAATTATAAATTGTCTCTATTAATTAAAAATTAAAAGTTAAGATATTTAATTTTTAATTCTTTCTTTTCAAAATTTTTATATTTACTTATTATTTTCATAATATTTATATGTTTCATTTTACTTGTAAGTATTTTATTTCGTTATTTATTTTTCTGTCAAACGTTTGAACATTTCTCCTCACACACAACACTTGCATTGCATAACATAAAGCTCTATAATTGAGTTTGTCCCTTTTAAGTGGGAGTGAAAGCGACGTCTTCGTGAGAATTTATTCTCCGTGTCAGACCTAGCAAGTAACTTTCGGGGTTCATATGCTCTATGTCTTCGTGAGAATTTATTCTCCGTGTTAGTCATAGAGAAATGTATCCCCTCGAATTGAACTCGGTCCGTTTAAGTCTGTAATGGATTAGGATTGAGGGTTTGATAGCCCAAGGGGGCATCAACAAGGACAGTTCGAGTACCTTTACTCCTAGAACTAAAAACCTGCATATAATAAACCCTAGAAACTCTCCCGGTCTGAAACCATGCCGAAATTTTGTCAGTAGGTATACACAAAGGAGAAATAAGCTCTAGCTTTTAATTTATTTTATTTCTTTTTCCTGAATAAATGCATGTGAACTAGAAATCGTGCGGTTAAGTTAAATTTTCCAAATAAAGCATTGAACTAGAAAGCATGAGGTTAAGATTTATACATTGATATACAGTTTTTTTTAGTTGGTATTAACTATTCTATTTTTTTTCATGTATATTACATTGCTCTAATCTGTTCATATTGATTTCTTTTGTTTGCATTACATGATCATGGCATAATCAAGAGGTGTTGACTTGAAAGATTGTTCATCATATTGGAAAGAAATCGTAAATGGACAAAAAGTTTTATGATCAAACAAAATATGATGCGACCGAAGAAAGACATCCTGAAGAAACTACGAGGATCGAGGGAAGTTCTGTACATAGAGAACCGGTTATATTAATACCAAAAGTATTAAACAAAGATCCTACCAGATTGATACCAAAAGCAATTTATGGTAAGAGCATCAGGCAGGGCATTCAGAGTAGTGAAGATTTTTATGAAGCTCAAGCATATTATTTGAAGGACTTGAACGACCAAAACAAGAAATTGAGCACAGAAATGAAAACCATGCATGAAGATTTTCAGAAGATCAGTCAAACCTTTCAAAATGCTGGCCTAGGAGGTACCCCAGAAGAATGGATAACAGGGGTCACCAAGCTGAAAAAGAGCTGCAACATATACGAAGATCTTGTTCAAGAACTTCTTGGACAGAAAAGATCTCTTACAAGGGAAAATGAGCAACTCCGAGAAGTGACACAAAAAAAAATGAAAGAGAATGTCATGGAAGAGGTTACAGTCCAGACAAGCAATATGTCCCTTAAGTTGATAGACTAATTTGGCTTTGGAGAAGTTAGGAATGAAATATATCCCTATATGTAAAGTTTTGTTTTATGTACCGAAACTTTTGCGTTCAATGAAATCTGTTCTAAGATGATCACTCTTGAGTAACACCTTTTCATACATGCATTTGTAATTTGCATTTGTACATTTTTACGTTTGTATTTACATTTACATTTTTAAATTTACATCATGCATTAAAACATATTTAATTAAATAATAATGTTTATTTATTTTCAATATCAAAGAAAAGGGCAGTCTTAATATAACTGGATGTCCTATTATGGTATTTTAAATAATTTACATTTACATTTTTACATTTGCATATTTACATTTGGCATCTTTGCATTTGTATTGCACAATTTGTATTCTTATTATTGCATTCACATATTTACATTTGCATTTGGCATCTTTGCATTTTTTATGTCATAATACATTAAAACATTCATTCATTAAAATAAGGATTTCAAACGAAGTGATCTTGGTTTTTCCTTGAAGCAAGAACGCTCAGCACGACACAAGAAAAATGTCTAAAGAAACTGAAGATAGGCTAGCCAAATTTGAGATAAAGCAGAAAGAAATACAAGAGGAATTGAGGAGCAAGTTGGTACAAATCGAAGCTAATTCTCAGATCGATCTACTGAACAATATGAAAGAAATGATTGATAAGCATTTGACTGATGGAAAGAGTCTTGTTGAAAACCCCACAAATTCTTTAGGTGTTACACCTGTTCAGATTCTTGAGTTCACCTCTATACCCCAGGAAATTCAGTCACCAATTTATTTTGCTGTTAAGAACTCACCATATCAAGCTGGAGCATCATTCCCCACTAATTGTCCTATTACTTCTGAGTTGGAGCCTGATGAATTTTGTAATAAGGTCCTTGACCTAAACAAATCAGTTGAGAAGGAAAAATTCACTCAACGACTGGAAAATATAGAAGAGGTGATAAAATCTATAGAGACAGTTGAGTCATTTTATGGGTTTGATGCCAAAGAACTAAGTTTGGTCCCTGGCCTGGTTATTCCACCAAAGTTCAAGGTTCCAGATTTTGAGAAGTATAATGGGACTACATGCCCTTCATATCATATTACTATGTATTGTCGTCGTATGACTGGTTATGTAGAGAATGAAAAATTGTTGATCCACTGTTTCCAAGACAGTTTATCTGGGTCTGCATCCAGATGGTATAATCAGCTAAAACGTACTCAAATACGTTCTTGGAGGGATTTAGCTCAAGCTTTTTTGGGTCAATACAAGCACATGACTGATATGGCCCCTGATCGAACAATGTTGCAAAGCATGAATATGAAGTGCAATGAAAGCTTTCGACAATATTCACAATGATGGAAAGACGTTGCTTCTCAAGTACATCCACCATTGACTGAAAAAGAGTTCACTACTTTATTCATCAGCACATTAAAATTTCCTTATGTTAATCACATGATAGGGGTTGGCCCTAATAATTTCTCTGACATCATCATAAGTGGAGAAATCATCGAAATGGCTATCAAGAATGGCAAGATAAGAGGCTCTGACAATACTAAAGTCAAGAACGAAGCTGGGGTTAATACAATGAGGTCTTATTCAGTTAAACATGGTGCCAAACCTTATAGAGTGATCAAGAAGAAAAAGAATGTGCAGGGATTTCAATTTCCTCCCTTCCACTGTTCGAGTGAAAAATTGCATCCAAAAATGCTCTCAGCCAGATCAATTACTCCACAACTTGATCAATCACAATGGCCTCCAAATGAGAATTGGACCTATAAGGAAGTTCCTTGGATAAATCAGATTAGAATTCCAAATTGTTCAGCTAAGGTTCCTGGTAACCTTAAGGGAAATTTCCAAGACCCTTTAGAGCAAGCAATTCAAAAATGCAAGATAAAAGAAGGGGTTAATGTTCAATGTTCAGAAACCATTGTTGCAACAAAAACTAATATAACCAAATCCTACGAAGAATATCAGGCACAAGAAAATGAGAAAAGAAATCAAAAGGCTCCCATGGATGTAATTCGAGATTGGCCTATAGGTCTAAGAAAGAATGAGGCAGATATAACCCAGAAGACACCTCAGATACCTATATCAGATTTTCCGAAAACCAGTAAGGCAAGGGGAAACTTAAGGAGTCTGGTTAATACTACCCCAGTTATAGCTGAAATGAGCATTCAGAACCCCCTCAATAACATGAGAGCATTCATTCGTTCAGAACGATCAAAGAAAGTGATAGCCTCGCGAGCAAGAAAAACTCTAAAGGTGTTTCAAGAATCTATCTCAGACCTGTACCCTCATTTTGTTAAAGTTCAATACATTACACCAAGATTGGTGAAGGTGTCACCAAGGCCTTATGCTCATTGCTATGATCAAAATAGCTTCTGTAATTTTCACTTGGGAGTATCTAGACATTCAACAGGGAATTGTTGGTCACTGTTAAAGGAAACAGAGACGCTCGTCGATAAGGGAGTCTTGACACAAGAAATGATCAAGAAATGGGGAGCAAATAAGGATAAAAATCCTGGGCCAAGTACATACCCAATAATAGAGGAGTGATGAGTCATGATAAATAAATAAGTGGAAGTGTTATCTACCACTATAGTACTTTTCTATTTTCAGCATCTTGTTTGAACTTGTTTTTTTGTTTCTTTCTCTGCCTTTTGTGCAAAAAAATAAATTGTGTTGCTTTTATGGTTATGAGCAAAGAATCAAGTTTTAATCTTGAGATTATTGAGTATCAAGTAGATTAAATATTCTTTTAAATTTGCAAGAGTTATAGATCTATTGGCAAGTGATAAAATTATATCTTCCATATCCCATCCAACACCAATTACTCGACCTTTACCAAAACCAAATCCTGACACTACATTTATCTGAGACTCTGAAGAAATGTCTCTACCTGTTTTTGAGACACAAACTCTAGATGTTTACCTTCTCGGGTAGAGTCGATTAATTGATGATACTACCTTCCACCATATACATGACTTTATAAGTCACACATTTGTCCTTCCAAATACAAAACCATCATAAACCAAAAGACCTCAAAAGAACCAAACTTTCAACTATTCGTGAATTTTACTGCAAGAAGAGACGAGATGAGGCATCATGGACCAACTCATTGATGATAATTTCGAGTGATTAGGGCATACTCAAAAAAGAAGGGGAAAGTGATTGATTGAAATAAATATATCATGCATTAATTACATTTTTTTCATGTAAATAAAGTTAATCTTGAATATTCATCCCCCTGTGGATACCTCTTTTTACAAAGGTTTCTGTGTATAAGATGATGAACGGCATTGTTTCATTTATCCTTTAATATATATATATATATATATATATATATATATATCCTTTGTTGTCCCCATTTGAGCCTGAATAATTTTTCTTCTAATTCAACCCTAACCAAGGATCACCCTCTACATTGGGGGGCAAGGTAAAGGATATTGGCTCATAAGAATAAAGATTGTCAATACAGTTTTATTACGAAGACAAGTTTCCATGAAGTCATGAAAGTTTTGAACTACAAAGTATGTCAAATACAGAGTGCTTGAAGATCAATCTAATCAAGAATAATGGAAAACCTCCAAAATGCAAAAGGAAAAGGAGGTGCTCAAAGCAATTGAAGTATTATACTCATCCAGCAAAGAAAGAAGAAAAAAAAGGAAAAAAAAGAAAAAGGAAAATTGAATCAAGATGGGTGATTTATTGAGCCTCAAGTTACAAGGTTGATCAAATACAAACAAGAAGAGCAAGAAATGCTGGAGATATGAGAAAATGGAAATGAATCCAAAATTTGGCAGTCTAGAGGGATCCAGTTGATGGAAAATTCCCCAGCAAGGCAGATCCAAGTCAAACAAGATTGATGGCATCAGAATGAATTGATCCTTGGTTTGATGACCCTTAAACACTTATTTGGGCCTTTTTATCCCTTTTTTTCATAACCATAAGCCATGGCCTACGTTACGTACCTGAAAAGTCCATTTTAATCGTACATGGATTTCTAAGTAAAAGAGAATATCTTCAGAATTCATTCCGCCTCTCAAGATTGATTTTTATTTGCAAAAATTGGTTTTTAAAATCTTTAATGCATGATATGAAAAATGATAAAAGGAGGGTTCAAGATATAATTTTTTAATAAAATATCTTTGAAACCAAAGGAGGATTCGAGTTGAAAACCTGAAAAGGCGGCTCGAATATTGAATGGTGCAACAACGACATAAGAGACGATCTTAAGCTCTTAATGAAGCACCACACATCTCAAAAACGTTCCTGAGAGTCTGGAAACGAGAAGCATCTCTACAAGGTGAGCATAACAACCATTTCTTCAAGTTAGTGGAAGCCCGAAGCAACATACTGAACCAACTTGAAAGAACCTACTTTACCAAAATCAACCTACACCTCAAATCAGTCAATAATTTTGACACTTGCCATAGGACTATGATTTTTGAATGATTTAAAAGTGTAGTTGATTTATTTGATATTCGTTAAACTCATTGTTTATGATTCGATTATATTGTGAACCTGAAAGGGGTAATACTTTGCAAAATTCTTTCATTCTTCAATAAAGAAAGGAGAAAAAACATTTTCAAACAGTACAATCTCAAATGAGGAAGATCCTTAAAGCAATTGTTGCTTATTCTACATCTGTTGTAGAAAAAGAATGAACGAAGCCAGAAGAATGAAGCGCTTCACATTTTTGAAGGCAAGTGGTCCAAGAAGCCAGAAAGTCTGGAGAATTGAACTTGTGACACTCTCCTATAACATTAGCAATTCATCAAGAAAGATTATCGTTTATCTCATACTGAGGGCGATAAGCATCACCAGAAAGATTATTTTCCCCAACCATCAATTCATGTTCTCTAGAAGATTACATCATAAAGCCATGAACAAGTCACTACCTGCACTCTGGTTATACCGTGATGCTGGCTCAAGTCTTGATACATTATTGCTACTTCTTCTATGCTGATCATTTTCTTTGTCAAGATGATATTCATTATGTCCTTCAGAAGATTGCTGAATTTGAATTTGAGGACTTATGGCACAGAATAAGACATTGGAACAAAATCTACCCTTATAGGCCTTTTATATAGGGTAACATTGGTTACAGGACTCCAAAAGTTGAAGATGACAAATTTTACTGTCAACTAAACCGTTCCATAATTCGAAAAGAGTGGGATATATTGAAGCAGCAGAAGAGACAGTTTGTTGTAGCAATCATTGCAAGTAAATGCACCAACAAAAATCTTCAAGCCCATCATAATGATGTTTATTTCTTCCAGTAAGGTTGTTACGCTGGATGCCACTTACAACAAGGTCGAATTCGACAAAACTACTCATCAATTGCTCCAACCGATCATCATTCAGTTCTTGCACATCTGTTTTCAAAAGTATGCCAAGACAGTAGAAGGCGATCTTTGCAGCACTAATCCCAGAGAAAAAAGACAGGACATTGATACCACCATGGAACATGTCTCTATACAGATCCTTGTGTATGGTTTTTAGGGAAACCTAGAAGCATTTCCACCTCATCAGATTCAAGTGGAACAATTTTATTCTTTTCAACCCATACCAGATTCCATTTTCAGCACTCATCAAGAACATACTTCTGGACACTCGAAGGTGGCTCATTGTCATAAGCTTCAAGAGCCTTACAGATCCTTTCTGTCAATTTGGCACTTCATGTACATGTTTATAAACAGTTCAACTTTGTTCTTGGATCCCAGGAAGGCCATCATTTCTTTCTCAATGGAAAAGCATCAGCATATGGAGGAAGCAGAATAAGAGAAAATCTGTTCTCAATTAGCAGAATTATGAATATAGCCCTTTTCAGTGTAGTAGCATGAAAATGCTTCGAATCTACAAATTATGGCTCTACATCGAATAAGTACTATGATATTCCAGTCCAAACATTAACTGGAGCAAGTGCCATGTGCTCATAGCATCTTCTGGAAGTGTTCTTTGAGTTATCTGATCTGGTTTGGTATGAACCCCAAAAACCAATCATTGGATTTGAAAGATGAATTTGCTCATAGGAGAAATAAGAAGACTCAATAGCATCTTCTGAAAGTGTTCTTTAAGTTATCTGATCTGGTTTGGTATGAACCCCAAAAAAACCAATCATTAGATTTTAAAGATGAATTTGGTCATAGTAGAAATAAGGAGACCCAATAGCATCTTCTGGAAGTGTTCTTTGAGTTATCTGATCTGATTCGATAGGAACCCCAGAACCGATCATTGGAATTGAAAGATGAACTGCATGATCATCTTCATTAAGAAGCTTCTTTTCAAGCTTCCTCTGCTTCTTCCTTTTCCACAAATCATAGCCCAAGTTTCGCCTTTGCTTGTAATTGAGATCATTGCATAATGGCTTCCTATCTTCTACCATAAGAAGTGCATCAGTAACCTTAGCCATTTGATCAGCACATATAAAATCTGTCAATTCTGCAATTGATGAATCTGAACCACATCTCTCCATGGTTATTGAAGCCTCAACCTCTGAGAATCCCATTTTTGTCAAGTATAACAGTTTACTCTCCTCATCAGAATCAGAATTCATGATTTCCTCGATATCAGAAGAACTATCAATATCTGTGAAATCATCCTGAAAGATCGCTTCATAATCAGATGAGTTGTTATCAGGATCAACATGTTGCATGGGTGTGGATTTTTGATGAGCTTGTACCATTGTATATGTAGTCTTGCCATTGCATCAGATTACTGTTTGCATAAATTGGTTTCTCTCCCACAGAAAAGTATATTTCAGAGATGGCCTTCACTGAAAGATGATAAGCCACTGTGTCAGCCTGGAACGGATTACCAAGCTATTTTTACTACTCTGTCTGACTAAATCCCTCCAGATACAGAAAATGGTCACCTCATTCAGAAGACATATATCTCAGATGTTTCTGTCAGAATGATTGAATACTTCTTAAGTTTGTGACAATATCAAGAGAATTCTTCCAGTTACCGGACAACACTGCTGTTTAGTGACGCCAGAATGAGAGTATTCAAGATAAATAGATTTGGGGCACGAATAAAGCCACAAGTACCTACAACAGTGCATTGTCAAAATTGAACCTTGTGGGGATCATAACATTTCAGTCAAATAGACATTGAGAGTGAATCAAACAGATCTAGAGAGATATCTTGAAGGCCCATTTTCAACCAGAAATAGAATATTGGGGCATCTTGGAGGCTCATCTCAACAAGAAGTATTGTTGAGCATACTTTTAGCATCTGTATCAGCCAATGTTGAGGCATTTTAAAGGTTCCTTCAGACATATCCATGTGGGGCATTTTGAAGGCTCAGATTAACAAGAAGCCAATGCTGGGGCATGCTGAAAGCCCTTTTCAATTAGAATCAGAAATGTTGATGTATTTTGAACGTTTATATCAGCAAAATACTGGGGCATGCCGAAGGCCCACACCATCATGTGTTAAAGATCATTGACTTGAGCAAATAATTTCCAATGAGACAGAAATATATAAAGAATGAAAATGGTAAAACAGTGGCAGTCGAGCTAACTACACATAATTGCTTCGTTCATCAGGCAGTTGCATTAGGGTCCTGTCGTTGAACCAATATCTACTCAGCAAGTATGGTTTCAAATACCCAATCTTATTAAACCATGTATCACATGACAGTGTGTTCTTTGTTAAGATACATCATGGTTGCATGAATAAAGATGGTCCCCATGCAGACTATTTGATCCAGGGTTCAGTTCCTCAATATCTCAGCTTTGAATTTTGCATTATGTGTGTTGGTGATGATTGAAAATAGCTTTTTGAGATTCCTGACAGTTAGTTTCAATCATACTGTTGAGGTTATGAAGCTGTTTTTCACATCAATTTTTGCTTACTTGATGACATTGAAAAGGGAGACTCGACTCACTTATATTAATGTTATTCCCGTTATTACTGGGGTTATCATATTCAGCCAGGGTGAACTGAGTTTTCATCTATTTTGGTTTTATCATGTGCATTTCATCCTCAACAGCAAGAATTCCATGAACTCCCTTCCGTACATGGATCCTATAGCTGAAGTGTTTCTACTTTCTACAATGCTCATTACAGAAGAAAACATGATCAGTATCACACTTGCCCTTGCCCGAGATGATATCAAGATCAGTTGGTATCTCTTATTCAATTCGATACTAGCATATCTTGTGGATTTGAGCAACTTTTTGGCCATACCAATATCTCATTTGTATTCCCACTGAGTTTTGTTCTCAAGTGGTCTTGTGACATCATACAAAAGCATCATTGACCAGAAATCCGGGCAGAAGCCACAGTAAAGGATGAATGTGTTGTCAAATGTTTTACGAACATCTGAGTAGAAGCTACAACAGGATGAATGTGTTGTCAAACGTTTTATAAACCAGTGATTATGATGCTGAACCAATGTTGTAACCATATGGTATTTCCATTTATTGATCCAAGATGAAGTCTGTCTTCTCCAACCAAGCTTAGAAGCGAGATATGATGAAGATTTCTTTCCACAGAAGGGAAACTGAAATTTTAACAACAAGAAACTAGTGGAGCTAACTAAGGATGAACGACAGGTTGTTGTTAAGCATCTCGACATGATATGGTCCAAGTTACTTTGTTCGATATCCAATTAGATATGGAGACATGAAATGAATTAGGATAAATCCTCCTTGTGATATGTTTCAAGAGTCAAATCAGAACAGACATTGTTCTTCTATTTAATCTCTGCTGAGTTTGGCATATCTACATCTACACTCTTCAAAGATGATAGATTCTCTCTTCAAAGATGATAGATTCTCTTTTTAAAGATAATAAATTCTCTTTTCAAATATGAAAGCTTTATTGGATTTCTACATAAGTCCCGACAAAGAAAGCTGATTTTATCCAAGACAAAATGGGGCATCAAGGTCATAATTCTGACTATAGCAAGAGTTCCACAAATGAAACATTTCTTTTGAGACTTAAATGAAGCAAAGAAGACACCACGATACAAGTTGATCAGATGGTTCTTCAGAAATGCAAGCTTGATAGCATAAGTTGCTACACTGATATCCAAGGGAAACCCTGCAAATAAATGATGAAGTGGAGGAAAACCGAGTTCACCATTTTGAAGTCAAATGAAGAATAACTCAACATTCATGCATCATATTTTAGGTGTTTACAAAAATAGGTGCATTTTCATTCATTTTATTCATGTTGAATTTTTAAACAGAAATTTCAAAGATTTTAGCAAAGATTTCGAATCCACTGGATGGATTATTTTTCCAGAGAAAGTTCATAATGAGAAGAACTCATCTGAAGAAGGAAGAAGAAGTTCATAATGAGAAGAATTTGTTCAACCTTTTACCTGAATTCATCAATTGATGGATCAGCCTTTCCAGAGAAAGTTCATAATGAGAAGAACTTATCTGAAGAAGGAAGAAGAAGTTCATAATAAGAAGAACTTGTTCAATCTTTTGGTTTGAATTCATCATTTGATGGATCAACATTGCCAGGAAGAGTTCATAATGAGAAGAACTCGTCATCTGAAGAAGGAAGAAGAAGTTCATAATGAGAAGAATTTGTTCAACCTTTTACCTGAATTCATCAATTGATGGATTATTTTTCCAGAGAAAGTTCATAATGAGAAGAACTCATCTGAAGAAGGAAGAAGAAATTCATAATGAGAAGAATTTGTTCAGCCTTTTGCTCAAACCCATCACTTGATGGATCAGCTTTTCCAGTTCGAGTTCATAATGAGAAGAACTCATCTGAAGAAAGAAGAAGAAGTTCATAATGAGAAGAACTTGTTCAACTTTTTGTTTGAATTCATCATTTGATGGATCAACATTGCCAGGGAGAGTTCATAATGAGAAGAACTCGTCATCTGAAGAAGGAAGAAGAAATTCACAATGAGAAGAATTTGTTCAACCTTTTGCTCAAACCCATCACTTGATGGATCAGCTTTTCCAGTTCGAGTTCATAATGAGAAGAACTCATCTGAAGAAAGAAGAAGAAGTTCATAATGAGAAGAACTTGTTCAACTTTTTGTTTGAATTCATCATTTGATGGATCAACATTGCCAGGGAGAGTTCATAATGAGAAGAACTCGTCATCTGAAGAAGGAAGAAGAAATTCACAATGAGAAGAATTTGTTCAATCTTTTGCTCAAATCCATCACTTAATGAAGCAGCTTTTTCAGAGAAATTCATAATGAGAAGAACTCATCTGAAGAAAGAAGAGAAAGTTCATAATGAGAAGAACTCATCAAAAGCTTATTCAACCTTTTGAATGACTCTATCACAGAAAAAAAGAGGTCATCATCATCCCCAGCAGAAAGTTCATAATGAGAAGAACTCATCTGGGGAGAGAGAAGAATTTATTCAATATCTTCATTATGATCAAGTGAAGCCAAATGAAAAAAATTTTATTATCTTTTCATCTTTGCCCTATTCTTGTTAACACAAGAATGAGCAAAGAGGGGCAGCTGAAGATACTAATTTTTTTTACTCATATTATTATTATTATTATTATTATTATTATTATTAATATATTATTTAAAATTACAAGCCCAAATGGAAACCCAATTACAAACTTGATGGCCCAAACCAACGAACAAACCCTAACAGATTAGGGTTTTCTAATTCCTCAGCCGCCATCTTCAATTCCAGCCGTTGGATCTGGTTTGATCCAACGGTCCACAGTTTGCCAGAGGAAACCCTAGGGTATCAATACCCTAGGGACACGTCCCACCGCCGCCGCTGCTGCTTCCAGAAGACTTCACCGCCACACCAACGTTCCAGCCTCCACCACGTCTACCAAAGAGTCCAGAAGGCCGGCCGTAGCCGCACACGTCTTCCCCAAATGGTGAGTCACCACTGGGAGTCCGGTGACTCACCAAAGGGCATTCTTCGGACCGGTCTGAGACGAACACCGGTGATGGCTATAAAGCCATCACCCCATCTGCAAGAAAGAAAAGAGAAAAAAGAAAAAGACAGAGAGAGAGAGATACAAAGAAACAGAAAAGAAAGAAAAGAAAAAGAAAGAAGAGAAACTTACTGTCATCGGAGAACCCCAACCGCCACCGGATCTCGCCAGAACCTTCGAAACGCCGAAGGTATTTTTGTAGATTCGCTCCGATTCAGAGCTTTTTAAGGGAAGAGAACACCGGGACCGTCCTTAGGACGGTCTGATCTATCCAATAGTATAAAAATAAAATTTTTCGGCCACCGGATGCGGTGGTCGGCGGTGACGGTCACGGCGGCAGACGGTTGCCGTCCGGTGACCGGCTTCCCTCCGGTGAGGGAAGCTAGAGAGAGGGGAGAGCTTTGTTCATTCTCTCTCAGTTAGAGAGAGAATGAAAATTGAAAAATGAAAGAGATGGCCCGAATGGCCGGCTGTCTTGGGCATTAAATAGCCCTTCCCAAACGACGTCGTTTTGGGGAGGGCTATTCGTGTAATCAAAGAATAGTTAAATCATTTCCGCAGCCATCTAAACTTGTAAACTTTACATTTTAGTCACTAAATCGAATTTATAATACTTTTAATTTGATCTTGAAATTTTAATTTTATTTATTTTAGTCCTTTTTTATTAAAATAATATATTTAGGATAAATAACAGATTTAATCCCTCAATTTTAATAAATAATATTTTAATCCTTAGTTTATATTTTTAATTTATTTTATTATAATATCCGAATTTTAGATAATTTTATTTTAGTCACTAAATTATTAAATAAGAAAATAGCATGTTTAATCCCTGCAATTCTGATTAATTATGAATTAGGTTTTTCAATTTTAATTTCACTATATTTTAGTCATTTATTTTAAGTATTTTTTTATTATTGCTTTTAAATATATAGTTAGAATTGTATTTTTACTTGTTTATATATTTAAATGTTGTTATATAATAAAAAAATATATATTTTAAATAAATTATTTTAATATTTATTTTTAATATCGAAGAAAAGGACAGTCTTAATACAACTGGATGTCCTATTCTGATATTTTAAAATTAAAAAAATTAAACAATATTATTTAAAATTTATCAATATCAAAGAAAAGAGCTGTCTTAAGGCACCTAGAAGTTCTTTTCTGATATTTTTAAATAAATAAATATTTTTTATATTATTTTGAAATAATAAGATTATAAATTAAATATATTTTTGAATTTTTAAATTTTAATAATAAGAGACAATTTATAATTAAAAAGTACCAATTTTGGGCGTTGTAGGGGTGCTAATCCTTCCCTAAATGTAACCGACCACGAATCCCTTTTTATTAAAAAGAACGAATTTTTGGTTATAAAACGCAGATCAATTCATTTTTTATTAGTGTTTTTTTAAAACTCTTTTAAAAAATAATTTTTAGGTATTCGACCTACCTGACCCAAAAGGCCGATGGCGACTCCCAAATTATTTATTTTCAAAATTATTTATTCACATCAATTTTCCCGTTAAATTTAATATTTCGTGCCCGGACGAAAACCGGTTACGACAATAATAATATTTATAAGAATTCTTAATTCTGGTAGTGATGTTCACAAGATGTATGAGTGTTGTCAATAGATTAATTTTTTTGAATAAATATTATCTTATAATTATCTCATAAAAAATTAAGAGTTTAATATATTTAATTTTAACATTAAAAATAATTTAATAAATATTTTTTAAATATAAAGTTGAGACTTATTTTTTTAGTTTCAAAATTAAGAAAGACCTTAAATAAAATTGGATCCAAACATTAGCGTTTGTACGATTTATAGTTTATAAATTTAAAGATTACAAACAATCCTTTTTAAACATTTAAAAGTTTTGTACGATTCAAAACAAAATGGACCCATTTTTTTCTTTAAAATCATGCTTAACTTTAATTTAGGTTTCATTTGGTACTTTATCGTTAAAAAATTAATGGTGATATTAGCATATTACCATAAGGTAATTTCATATCATCATTGAAAAAATAAAAAAATATCACATTAAGATTTCTGTTATTTTTTTAATAGTTGGTATCAAACTGAAACCTAAATTAAACATTATATACAATTTTTCAAAAAAATTAATCTTTAAGTACCAAAACAAAACAAAATAATAGTTTAGATATTAAACATGTAATTTACCCTTAAGACATACCATCCTTATCCCATCTCAATCAAGGTTTTTTTTTAATTCAAAAAGTGATATCAATAATGATAAAGAATGTTATATTTCTTTAAATAATTCAGATAAAATATTATTATTTATAAAATATATTAAACTTATTAAATAAAATGATTTCAATAATAAAAAAAGTATATATTTCAACCCTACCACTACATCACCATTAAGGCAAGACAATCACCTTTTAAAGTAAAATAAAAACGAGACAAATCTGAATTAAGCGATTTTAATTATTAAGGGATGATTGTTATATAGAGATTTTGAGTTTGCACACAACTATGCAGGAGTATTTGAGTGTAAGAAATTAAATGACTGAAAATCTTATAAATATATATTATTTTATAATTACCTAGATTAATTGAGAGAAAAAAATAAAACAAGACAGCCATGTAATACTACATCACCTTAAGCAAATGTAAAACACAACTTCCATGCCAGTAAGAAAATTACAAAACGATCTTATGAAAATTAAAATAAACTAACCATATTATCAATCATTTAAGAAAAACAATTGTGATCGTGGGATCGAGTCTCACGGTGTATAATTTATAATTGGAGATCTCCTACGGAAGCTGTTCTCAATCTGACGTTCGGGACAGCCTACTATTTTATCTTCCTTACCTTATTACATATGGGAATAAGATCAACTAATTTTTATAAAAAAAACAATTGAAGTGCTATTTAAATGAGAAAATTTGATTGCTAGTACCGCGACTCAACTATACGTTTTTTTTTTTTGAAGTACTTTGAGTTTTGAGTTCCGATTTTTTAAAAATTTGAAAGCTTAAAAAATATATACTATATAATATAAGACCGAAAGCGGTAAACGTTTCAGATCCGCCACCAAGAATTTGAACCCGCCGCAGGTGTCGCTCATGAATTGGTTAATTCTAACTTGCCACTATTCAACGACCTGAACTTTCCTGGGTGTTTCGGCTTTCACACAGGAGAAAACAAGACCCCGGAAAGATAAATTAATAACAGTCAAAACGAAGGAAAAATATCATAACATCTCAGCAGCTTTCGTGTATACTTTGCTCATCTCCAAAATCACACAATTTCAAATCGATCTGCCTTTTTTCTTCTTCTCAATGGCGGATCGAGCCTCGTTTAGTTTGGCTCCCCGATTAGGTCAGTTTTCCGTCAAGTCTTTTTCACCAGTGGTTTTCTAATTTGATGTATATTCTTTGTTTAGATTCGCGTACACTTTTAACTTGTTTTTTCATTTGAATTTGCGTGTGGTTCCGTTAATGATCTCTGTTTTTTTTTTTAAATTTATCCTTGGCGGTTTCCGTTTTAGAAAATATAGTTAGGTCCGAGGTACATAGTTTGATTCTATAATTGAGGGTGCGTGGGACGAATTTATAAATTGATAGCATTTAGTAACTCAATTTATCTGGATATCCCGTGAATTGAGGTTTAATTGTCCAATGGCGGAATGACCAGTGGTTTTAGCTTTCTTCTGCTTGCAGAGAGGACTGGGAAGTGTTTTCCCTAGCCATGAAGTTGTTCTGAAGTAAGGTCACTTCATAAAATCTTTAAAGACATTGAAGAGATAATACTAAATAACTCTATCAAATAGGCTTAGTGAATACAATAATGTGTCCATGGTAATCATTTCTGATAGGTATACACCAATTGGAATTGCATTTTGATGCTTGATAATCTGCTATAAAAGCAGACAGTTAAGTTTCCTCCCTAGATTATGAAAAGCAGAAGGTTTATGTGTCGTGGACAATTTGCAATTTTATCTTCCTTTCAAGGTACTGAAAATTCTGGAAACAGAGAATGAAAATAATAATTTATGTTTACGTACTACGTGGAATTGGTGCATGGTTTGAGTTATATAATTCTTTTCATTCGTTATCAGTCAATTTTTTTGAGAGAAATATGGGTCAAGAATGCTATTGAATGATAGCATGAATGAAGCTTTGTTTGTTGTTGCTAGATTCAGGGTTTTATTTCTCAATTCTCTTATGTTTTCTTGTGTATGTATTCTGTTAATTATATTCTGTTTCCTGATTGCAGATATTGAACAGATATTAGTGGAAGCCCAGCATAGATGGTTACGACCTGCTGAAATCTGTGAAATTCTTCGTAATTATCAGAAGTTTCTTCTTTCATCAGAGCCTCCAACCAGACCCTCAGGTAAGAATGTTAAAAACCATTTTAGAGCTGGATAAAATTTATGGCAACGACATAGCTATATTATGATTGTCAAGCAATTGATAAAAGCTACAGAAATAATTGTTTTGGAAGTAGATTAATCTTATTCTGTTGTTACAAGTTACATTCCTGAAAAACTTTGCTTAGTTCAACCATTAAGCTGAACAAAAATGCTCTAAGCAAAACATGCAAATTGATCTTATGACTGTGAAAGATAATTTGATTAAATTGTGATTGATTAGAACTCCAAATAGATTGACATGAATTTTAAACCTGCCAGGTGGTTCACTTTTTCTTTTTGATCGAAAGGTTTTAAGATACTTTAGGAAGGATGGACATAATTGGAGGAAGAAAAAAGATGGAAAAACTGTGAAGGAAGCTCATGAGAAGCTTAAGGTAAGTAATGCATCTATAGAGAATGAAGTTTTCTTGTCTGGATGATAATTTTCCTGATTCAGAATTTATTCAGTGGCTCATACTCCTGAATTGGAAAATTTTCGTAAGAGTAACTTCTTTAAAGCAATTTATAGGTTGGAAGCATTGATGTGTTGCACTGCTACTACGCCCATGGAGAAGAGAATGAAAGCTTTCAAAGGCGCAGCTATTGGATGCTTGAACAGTATGGATTGATTTTTATATATCCTTTTTGTTTTTGCAATTAGTTATAGGCATCCCAGGATGTTCTACATCCCTATGTCATATCACATTTTGCTCTATTTGTTGTGTTTCTTTATTCTGGTTGATTATTTTTATATTCTATTCTAAAACTGTGTGCTAATGCCAGAATGTTAAGGTACTTTAAGCATCCCAGCTATGATGGCATGAAGTAGTATCCCAGATAAAAGTGTTAAAATTTGTTTTATGGTTTCGCCTTGCGGACCATGTAAATGTAATACATGTTAGCTTCTTAATAAGCCTCTATTGGTTGGTAACTGTAGGAATTTGTGCAGTGTAATAGTTATGGCATGATCCATTTTCTTTAGAGTTTCTGCTACAATGAGTACATCATCTTCTCTTTACATAGACTTGTAAAAAAATTTAAGCATTTTTAGGAATGAATTTTGTATCCAATACTTCATTTGCAAACAATGTAACAATGCTATGAGTTCTGTGAGCCTATGGATATTGGATTCTATAGGAATCTGTTCTTTTTGGTGAAACATTTATGAATTATATACTCAATTTCTTGTCTATAACCTTTGTTCATTTTGTTTTGAATGATTTTGTTAATGTTGTAGGGATTTGATGCATATAGTTTTTGTGCACTACTTGGAAGTCAAGGTACTGCTCACTTCTATTTAAAATCCCCAAGTTTTTCCCTTTAATTTTTAGAAAGGCTAGATGATTGATTGTTTGCAAGATTTATTGTGTTGTAGCATACAGTCTCTATATCCACCGTTCTTTACCAACAACTTTAGATAAGAAATGAAGGAAGAAAATTATTTGGTACATCCTTACTCAGCACAGATCAGGACTCAGGTTGACAGTTGACTAGTTTCTTTGTGCCCTTCAATTCATGCTTCATTAATAAGAACCACGGTTGGACTGATTTAAGGAGAGGCGGGGATGGGGGGAATGTTTGTGAGGGTGGTGGAGTTGGGGTTGAACTTGGTAGTTATATGTTGTTTCTTGTTGTATTGTTCTCTGGATTAAAATTCCAACTTACTATTGCCTTCATAAGTATCAACATTGATTGATTGAGTGGTCAGAAATGAATGATTTTAATTTTAACTTTTGAACTATTTCTATTAATTCTTTAGTAGTTTGATTTCAACTATTGAATGGTTAATTTCATGTGTTAAAGTTTCTCTTACTTCAGAGTTCAGACCCCTATTGTCTTCAATTTGTTCAGGGTAGGACGATTGGAGGCATAAGAGAGACCAGTGATGTATCAAATTCTCAAACAAGCAGTCCTTCAACTTCTAGCTATTCTGTTAGTCATACAAAAGCCCCTTTCGGAAATGCAGATTCAGCAAGCCCTACCAGCACTTTAACATCCTTATGTGAAGATGCCGATTCTGGTATTTTTTGGTTCTTTTTTTTTCATTCAAATTCATGCTTTGCTGATTTTGCATTTGAGTTTGATGGGAACTTGAAACTCTTGCAATATGATTATGAAGGTTGGTCATCAATTCCTGGAGATAGACCTGGAGATATTAAATATGGCACTTGCTTGACTGAATCTCAAAGAGCTCTTTATTTTCCATCTAGGGAACAAGGCTTGGAGCAACATATGCCTGCATATGCTGCTGCTGCATCTTCTAATGTTTCAATGACTTCCTGTCACTCTAATACTATGAGCATCAGCCTGCAACAAGAAAACATGATGGAAGGAAAGTTATTAGCCGTTGAGAGTGTGTACAAGGAGTTTGGAAATCCCCTAGAGTTTCCCAATTGGCCTACGGATCCGTTGTCAAATTTTGAATTGCCATATGATACTAGGTCATTTGAGCAAAAGACTCATGATTTTCATTTACAGAATGCTTTTGAGGAATTTACCAGTCATGATGTTCTAAATGAGCTGCCTGCGCACAAAACCCTTCAAATGCAGCATACCGATGCTGATAGTAACTCCGTCACAAAAACATATCCTGAGAATGATATATATTTGAATGGAAATGACAACTATGTGTTCTCTCTGAAAAAACCATTACTTCATGGAGAAGAAAGCTTAAAGAAAGTTGATAGTTTTTCACGATGGGCTACTAAAGAACTTGGAGAAGTAGATGATCTGCAGATGCAGTCCTCGTCTGGTTTTGCCTGGAGCACTGTTGACTGTGGAAATGTATTGGATGATGCCTCTTTGAGCCCCTCTCTCTCCCAAGAGCAACTTTTTAGCATAGTTGATTTTTCACCTAAGTGGGCTTACATAGACCTAGAAACTGAGGTATCAAAGCTTTTGTGCATCTGAACTTAAGTTTCTGAGCAACTGGAAAGTTTGAAGATTTAATCAATACTTGCTTATTCATTTGGCCTTTTCTCTCTCCTGCTTTCTCACTGAAAAATAGATAACTGTCATGTTTTATTGTGCATTTTTACTTTTATCTTATTAATGCAATATATGTTACTGACATTGTCCTCGATGCTGTAAGTTTTTTCAAGGTCATGCAACTGCCCTTCCCCCTTTAGATGTCTATTCAGTTTTCAATTACTTTTGAGAGATGCCAAGTTAGAAAAATGGGATTTTCCCTTCTCATTTACTGTATCATGAAACAGGTGTTGATTATTGGAACATTTTTGAAGAGTCAAGAGGAAGTGTCAAAATATAACTGGTCATGTATGTTTGGGGAAGTGGAGGTTCCAGCTGTGGTTATTGCTGATGGCATTCTTTCTTCTCATGCTCCACCTCATAATGTTGGACAAGTCCCATTTTATGTCACATGTTCCAACAGGTTAGCTTGTAGTGAAGTCAGAGAGTTTGACTACCGAGCTGGGTTCACTAAAAACATAAATGTTTTTGATATCTATGGCGTTGCTTCAAGAGAAACACTGTTACGATTTGAGATGCTACTTTCTCTGAAATCTTTCGGTCCTCCGAATCATCATTTTGATAATGTTATGGAGAAACGGGAGTTAATTACTAAACTCATATCAATGAAAGAGGGAGAGGAATGCCACCAGATTATAGACCGCTCATCCAACCAATATTTGTCTGAATATAAAGAAAAGGAGTGCGTCCTTCAGAAATTGATGAAAGAGAAGTTGTACTCATGGCTACTTCACAAAATAACGGAAGATGGTAAAGGGCCGAGTATATTGGACGAGAAGGGGCAAGGTGTGCTACACTTAGCAGCCGCACTTGGTTATGATTGGGCAATAAACCCTACCGTTACTGCTGGAGTGAGCATAAATTTTCGTGATGCGAATGGATGGACTGCACTTCACTGGGCTGCTTTTTGTGGCAGGCAAGGACCCCCAAACTTACTCTTGTTTGTTTTATATGCTGGCTTAGAGCCTTCAATTTATATTCCGATAATTCTGACTGAATCGACGGTAATCTGATTATGTACTATTTGGTTATGAAATCATTTGATAACATCTCATGTTTTGTTACATTAGTTTATTGGCTTATGATAAAATTAAATCTCATGTTAGAAGCTGAACTTATATTGTTTTTTTTTGTATTCGACTATTTTTATTTTTCAAAACTCAGAGAGCAAACAGTTGCAGTACTAGTCTCCCTGGGAGCAGATGCTGGAACACTTACGGATCCATCTCCAGAATTTCCTTTGGGCAGAACTCCTGCTGACTTGGCTTCTGGTAATGGATACAAAGGAATCTCGGGTTTCCTTGCGGAATCTTCCTTGACCAGTCACCTTTCTTCTCTAACAATGAATGATCGAAAGGAAGCTGTACAGACAGTTTCAGATCGAATAGCAACTTCTCTGAATGATAGTGATGTGCAAGACATGTCATTGAAGGACTCAATTACTGCTGTATGTAATGCCACACAAGCTGCTGATCGTATATATCAAATGTTCAGGATGCAATCCTTCCAGTGGAAACAGTTGTGCAAGTCTGGTGATGGTGTGTCTAATGAACATGCCATTTCACTTCTAACGACTAAGGCATGCAGGCCATTGCAAAGTGATGGGGTAGTTTATGATGCTGCAACACAAATCCAGAAAAAGTTCCGTGGTTGGAAGAAAAGAAAAGAATTCTTGTTAATCCGGCAAAGAATAGTCAAAATTCAGGTTCATTGCTGCTTTTACTTTGTTGGTATCTTTGTTTATATTTTCCCTTTTTCTTCTCTTGTTATTTTTCCTCTGGGAAGGGGTTATGTCATAATCTGGTTGTCTCTATGCGGGTTGCCTTAAAGTGAAGGATAGGTCATCCAATGTCTGGAAACCTCAAGTGATCTCTTTTTGACATACTGATGTTTTCATGGACATTTTTTCCATGTGCGATATTGTTTTTCTTATTTGGGGGTTTTGACCATTTGATTTCTGTTGGCTCCTGTGCCCTAACCTTCTTCATTTGTTTATAGCATGTACTTATCAAAACTGGAAAGTGCTCTAATCTTTTACAACAAATGTGAAATTTAACACTTAAGTTGCAGAATCAGTTGATCTATTATTTACCTCATGAAAAGTTGATTTATTGATGTATAATTTTATGGTTTGAAGGCCCATGTTAGAGGACACCAGGTGCGGAAACAGTATAGAACGATCACCTGGTCGGTGGGAATTCTGGAGAAAGTTATTTTACGGTGGAGACGTAAAGGGAGTGGTTTGCGAGGATTTCGACGGGATGCAATTATCAAAGAACATGCTCCACAGTGCATGCCCCATGAAGAGGACGATTATGATTTTCTGAAGGAAGGAAGAAAACAAACTGAAGAAAGGCTGCAGAAGGCACTTACTAGGGTGAAGTCCATGGCTCAGAATCCAGAAGGACGAGGCCAATATCGTAGGCTGCTGACATTGGTTCAAGGGATTCAAGAAAACAAGGTATATGCTATTTCATTCGACATAAATTTCTAAGTAAAGTTGGCAATTCAGTAAGCTTGATGAAGTTAGACAGCCATATTAATGAGTCAATCTGAAGATCCTTCTTTGCACCTTGAACTTGCCTTGTTTCTGTCGTTTTCTGTTTTGCTTCAACCAGTGGATTCTGGACAACCTTTTGTTTGACTATTCAGAGACCTCCGTGTTTTGATTGTGAAAATGTGTAGAGATGACTGAATTGTTTTGAGATACTCTTCTACAGGCTTGCAACATGGTTCTGAACAGTACAGAAGAAGTGGCTGGTTGTGATGAAGACCTTCTTGATGTCGACTCTCTTTTGGCTGACGACACTTTCATGTCTTTTGCATTTGAATAACCTACCGAAACGTCCAACCTTGTACATAGACCGACAAGTCCATTGCAGCATTTTGGAAGGTCTCTAATTTCATGCTGTCTATAAATATAACATCCAACTCTTTTAGGTTCTGATGTATAATTTAATACTCTGCTCGGTTTAGGTGACTTGATGCACTTGACCTAACTCAATAAAGAGGAAGCTTGGAAAAATCCAGTCAGATTTCATACGATTTATCTGTGTAACAGGAAGTTAGACTATAGATTAAGCGTACATGGTGCTCATGGATAGTTCGGTATTTGTTTGTTTTATGTTCGTTTATCAAACTAAGTAAATGATCATGAACAAGATTGGAGCAGTGATCATGACTGAAGTGCTCACGTTTTTCCGGGGCAAATAATATTTTGGAGTTGCAGGTACAAATACAAATGCATTCAGCTCTTCACCTTATTTGGTGGTCCTGTTCCGGTCCGCGTTTTGGAGGCAATTTTATATTGCTGTCACAAAGCCAACCTGGAACAGAAATAAGGCATTGTTATATTGCTAACTTTTTTTGCATGCTACTAAAAGAAAGAAAAAACAGTCGAAAGCACCATTGTAAGAGGAAAACTGCAAACATACCTCTAACAGTTTCTTCTGACGGCCTCTCGATTCGATAGGGAACCGTCTCAACATGAAGAACCTACCGGCACAGAAGTTTGAGAAGTAAATAGACAAGGAACGGAACCAAAAATTGGTTGGAGTTGATATCTATTCTTACCTCCCACCATATATCATGAACCCCAATGCAGCAAAGAACATCATGACTGCGAAAACAAGAAGAAAATACCAGATATGTTCATCAATTCCTATGAAGCTATTCATTTGTTAACTTCATAAATGGACTGTTCAGACCAGAAACAAAGAGTTTACTAATTTCCACTGTAAGCTGGCTCTTACTTAATCGTACCGAAATCCATAGGCATGCCTGGTTGAAGAGGACACAATTAGGCAACTTTGATGAATTTTAGGTGTAGTTAATAGCTGATGGGTGATAACATTGCTCCTTTTACCTGAGCCAAGTATATATAAGTCCGTTGATGCTGTAGTACGCCGGCTGTAGTTTGTTAACAGGAAGGCTTCTTTCCTAGACAATAAAATGAAAAAGAACGATCCCACAAGCATCAATTCGTAAAGCGACGTCGATTACTTACGTAGGACTTTGTAAAAAGGGATGATTGTCTACCTGGTGATATATCTCAGGCCAGAAAAGGACCAGCAATGCATATGTCGAGAAAAACAGAAGACCGGGAAGATCCAGAAGCACCGTTTCAAGTGCCTGTACCATGGATGAACCAAATACTCTCACTATAAGTAACACAGTACTGGCGTGGCACATCAACTCTAGACAACGATCCGTACCTTCGATTGAACGAGAAACACGCTCTTGTAGGAACCGAACAGAACGGCCCTCACTGTTGAAATGCATCACAAAATCTGTTAGCACAAGTTATAAAACGGCTTTCGTCATAGCTATGCAGGAAACACACAACCCTTACATCCATTCACAATGAAGTTCATCAAGTGGAAAACTTTTTGTGTTGTCCACCCAAACTCTGGCACTCTCAAGTGAATACGACACAGCTGTACCTAAAAAAATGGAAGCATTAATGTCATTCGAAGGCATTAGTCGTATGTCGTGCACTCGTTAATTAGGACAGAAAACATGAAAAGTTGATCGAACATAGCATTTTCGGGATTCGCATGAACCTCACTGTCATACAGTTAGGCTAGCAACGGGTTGGGTCGAATTTGCATACGGTTAGGCTAGCAACGGGTCGGGTTGAGTTTCTAGCAAATTCGACCAGACTCGAGAAGCATACTCTCTTTACATTCGATCCGATCTAGATTTAGGGGTGTCTAATCCGAATCAAATTTTAGAGTAAAAATATGCATTCGGCCCTACTTGACTTATACGAATATATAAAATATTCTTATTATTTTTATTTGGTAAAATAAGCTTTAGTTGAAAAAAATAGAGAGAATGTATTATAGCAATTAGGGCCGTGGCAGTGTTTTCAGGGGCCCTGTATAAATTCTTAAAAAATGGCCTCTATTTTTTAGATATTTTCGATTTCGGGGCAACAATAGTGGCGTTTTCCTGACAAACGCCGCGATAGATCCATCTATAATGGCGTTTTATCAATAAAGCCGCAATAATAGTGGCGTTTTTTTTTTGAAAAAACGTCGTAATAGGTCCATCTATAGCGGCGTTTATTGGAAAAACGCCACTATATATATACTTTTTTGGGCCCTATTTTTTGGGGCCCTGCGTGGTCGTGCAGTTTGCGCCGCCCCAGCCACGAGCCTGATAGCAATTTCCTCGAATAAATATAAAAAAAAAACTATATTACCATTTTGGGTCGAATCAGAGATTTTTCACTCTAAATTCGAACCTAATCATCCTTTATAAAACTTAATTCAAATCAAATCCATTTACTTTTAATATAAAAAATCTCGATCCAATTAAATTGTGTTGGATCAAAACTCGTCAAATTACCAAGCCTAGTCATATTATAGACCCAAGCATGACAGCAATCCATGAGATTAGGATAGCAAAGAATAATATAAGACTAACACTACAGTCCCTTGGAGTTCTTGAACCCCTCTTCCAGTTTATTTACTTAATAGAAGGAACCGGCCAGCTGTTTACTTTAGTCTTCTGAAACATGTGTCGATTGCTCTGAAATAAAGGTATGATTTCAGCCTATATTACTCGAATTATTTCATTTTCATTAAAATATCTAAAAGTATACTACAAATACATGAAACAACTTTGAGTATAAACATGTCGAACGCATATCTGTATCAAACTTCTTGAAGAAGAGCACCTAAGCACTTGTTACCTAAAGGAAAGTTAGTGGCAAAACTTGTTCATGGTACTGCACTGTGCATTCTTGAAGCAACATAAAAATGGGTATCCAAATGACGAGTCATCAATAAAAATAAAGGATAAAATACACTCAGTCGTGGATTCAGAAATATTTTTTAGAGGGTATATATTCTTGAAGCAACATAAAAATGGGTATCCAAATAATGAGTCACCAATAAAAATAAAGGATAAAGTACACTCAGTAGTAGATTTAGAAATATTTTTTAGAGGATATATATATATAACATAAATTTTTTTACGAGATAGACACAAATAAAATTTTAAGATAAATACAATGAAACACTCTTGTTCTTCTTCTCTTTCTTTCCTTTAGTTCAAACCCGTCAATAAATCTTCCAATCTTATCAAGTCCTAATCGACAATAAAGGCTAAATTAAAAAAAATATTTGGTATTGTGAACCATTAAAACAACTTGAAACTGAATAATGTTAATCTTCTACCAAACAAAGTCTTTCCACTAATAAAACTGATTAACGATCTGATGGTTGCTAATTTGGAACCTTAAAATTTTATATTGGTAATGAGACTTTAGCATATTAGGTTAACCCTTTTCTTAAACGTAACTAGTGGAAAACAAATTAAAACTTTAGTGAATCATATGTAACTTAAACTCAGTGACCAAAGTAAAATTGTCCTAAAAAGTTGTATTTTACCCTAAAAATATAATTATAATTTCAATAATAACTAGTAAATGCAAAGCACTATTTACATCAAACAATCAAGGAGCCACAGAAAGAGAATCCTGGTTTGATCGTGAAAAGAAATTGCAGTAAAAAGTTCAAGCTTATATACCATTACATGCATGCATGCATGCAGTTAAAAATTTCATCTTGGATCACATTGTTTCTCTCCAATTCCAGTTATTTATCACAAATTAAACAAGAAAACTGCAGCAAAGTAAGAAATTACCAGGGCAACAATGGAAACAAAAGCATAGGAAGCTGATAACAAAGAGAAAATGAATCTCTGCCATCCCTCATATTCATCAATCTCATCCCACCAATCAAACATCATTCCTCCACCATTCAACAATATTTCCTCAGTTAAAACAAAACCCTTTACTCTCACCATTTGAACCCCTGCAAACAATGAAATCAAATGACAAAAAAAAAAAACCCAATGAAAAGATCGAGGAAATAACCCATAGGGCAAAGTTCATACAAAAGAAAGAGAGATCGACGAGAAAATGTGGGGAGGCGTGGAGAGAAATAATGTAGGATAGTTGGTGGCATATTCGTTGATTTTCGGAAGGTACAATGCTTTGGCTTTGGTAATGGCGACAAATTACAAACTGTGATGAAATCGATGGTGAAAGCTAACCAGTTATTGATGTTTTCCGACTTGTCTTGGCTTTTTATGTAACATCTTGCTGAGAAGCTTCGGGTTAATTTCTTTCTTCCTTCTTTGACTCACTGGACAATGGCAGCCAGCCATGGCCAAAAGGTGAAACTTACAGCCATAAGAACCTCCGGAATGTAGAGTCAAAACCATCGGTTTCAATCGCGTATTTACCCAAATGTCATCTTTTAAAAATATCTATATGGTATGAACGAGGTGACCTAGGCGGTTAAGGGTTGTTGTTATATCTTGAAATTTCATATTCGAGCAAGGCGTCTATAGAAATGTATTAGCATTAATTGTTGTCAAATGATTAAGACTATTTCGATCAGATATTAACTGAGACTAATCATCCGCCTTAATAGTTAAAAGGTACAATATATATCACTGATATAATAATTCTTATGTATCTAAAATGATGTGACGTAATATATATTATATTATTACTTTAAACACATAATATGTATCACGTTATTATTTTAATCATAAATAACGTTAACATTGAAGAAATCGTTTGAATAATGTACCATGTAAACAAAAACGCTTCTTCTAAAACATATTTTTTAAAAGGTGTTGTTAGATAAGTACGTTTTTAAAAAAATATTATTTTAATCAATAATATTATTGGGATATTATTTTAATAGAAGGTCAAGTATTTAAATGATATTCGATTTTAGGGTATTGTTTTGTTGAATTTCATTATTATTAAAATTTATAAAATGATCTTCCGATTATATTATGTTACTTTGTTGAGTTCTCCAACTATTAAAAGTTACAAAATGATCATGTAACTATTTATATGCCCCAAACTCATCCATTTTGTTAAAAAATTGGAGGTTGTCTGAGCTGGACGTCAACCTATTGAGTGCTATTGAGTGTGATATGATAAAATTTGATCCTAACGATTTAAGTTGTATTTTGTAGATTAACTCTTCGTTTATATTATGTTGTCAAGCTAGTGCTTGAAACATTATAACATCGAGTCAATGCTTGAAAGCAACGACGATGCCAGTAGATATTATCAAAATATAATTTTATCATATCTCAATCAACATGTTAATATCCAGATCAAACGACCATCAATTTCTTAATGAAAAAGGAAGAGTTTGGAATATATGAGTAGTTTATGATCATTTTATAACTTTTAATAGTTAAAGACTTAACAAACCAACAATCTATATGGTCAGAGACTCAATAAAATAATGACTTATAGTTGAGGAATCATTTGAATGATGTACCCTTTAATAAAAAAAATAATAAAATTTATTCACATAAAATTGCCCTATTTTCGATTATGTGTCTACTTTATTTTTTTCCCCAATTATATTGAGAGTGCTTTTTCCTATTTAAACCGGGAAAAATCTTAAATATACTTTTTATTATTTGGTTGAAAAACCAATTTAAACTAAAAAAAATGATTGTTGAGCATTAGTTTTAGCATGAAAATTACTTGATTTGATAAAAAAAATAAAAGATTAAATTTTACTTCGAAAAATATTTTAGTATCTAATTTTTTTTCTTCTAGAATAAATGCCTAAATGTTTTCATCAAAAAAAATTTAGACGTATATATCATAATAATCATTAAATTTAGTCGTTAAATGATATGTGTCATATTTTGATAATGATAAAATTTTATTAAAATTATAAAATTTTTAAAAATTATTAGAAAACCCAAACATCCCCAAACTCTTCTTCCCCCCCCCCCCTTCCTCTTTCCACTCTTTCCATGGTGGTTGGCAGATCAATCGTGATCGTCATCTTCATCGACACCAACATCGTTCCCTGATCAAACTTTTGTTAGTCTTTCGTAGAAAAGTATAACTGTTTATAATAGAAAAATGTAAGATTCGTTGAATTTTAAATCACCGTTATTATTTTTAGACATTCAAACATTTTTCAAAACATTATTTAATCACTTATTTTTACTTCTATATATTCAAAAGCAGTAGTGTCATCTTGATGTTTGCCACTTGAAGATTAAACAAATGAGCTGGCTTCAAAGGGAATTCCACTTCCAGAGGTTGGTGACTGATCCTAGGATTCCAATTTACAGGTTTCTGAAGCACTAATTTAATGGAGATTGAGAAAGATAAAGAAAAGAAAAGGGAAAAAAATTACCTTTCTTAATTCTCAGTAAACAAAGAAGAGAAAACCAAACCCAGGCTTAGAGAAAAGTCAATAAGGGCAAGTTCTTTCCTTTCCTCCTTCAGCCTGTTTATTTTCTTTCTCCTTCTGCCCCTCCAAAGACTTTCATTTCATTCTTCTTCCTTTTCAAGGTATTGTCTTTATTCTTCTCTGTTGAAAACAGAGGAAATAGTCTGTTCTTTTCTTCTTGGGAATTTGAGTGTTTTGGTGGATCGGTAGGGGGAATTCAAAGATACCCATTTCATGATTTTGTATTGATTTTCTGTTTGTAGGAATTTTAGGGTTGTTGGTGGAGGGTTTTGCCTGTTTTGATGATCAAGAAAATTTCTTTCATTCTTTTTTTGATTATGCAGGTAGAGGAATTATGTGGAAAATTTTGCTTTCTTTCAGATGTTGAGTGATAGCTGAAGAAGGTGAGAATCTGGAGAGGGGTTGAATTTTATGGATAATCAATGTTGCTTCAAATCTGTATATTCCCAGGTCATCTTATATTCAGTTCAGTCCTTCCAATTTAGATTGTTTCATCATATGTTTATGTATGATTGGATATCCTTGGTTGGTGATTTTGATTAGATTTTTGTAAGGACATGATCTAGTTTAGTGGCATCTTTGATTTCATGCCAGATTCTGTGTGCATGAGCAATTGCTAGCTTAGTACCAAACCTTTTCTGGGTTGTTATTACCTGCATTACTAGTCGATTGTATTCCTTTTATTGTTTTGGTCGGAAGCATCGGAGAACATCACTAGCCTTGTGCTTGTGTTGTGCAAATACTGTTTCATTTACTAACACAGCAATGGCTTACCGTGAGAGAGTGCTCTTCTCGGTTCCCGTGGTTAATGGCTTTTTGGGAATCAGTTAAAAGTTTTATTTACATTTCCTCCTGTCAAATCGTGTTTCTGTTTCCTTTCAAGTTTATTTTCAAACTCCATTAAGTATGAAATATCGTAAAAGATTCTATTTTTATCGTTTAAGCTGGAGGACGATCTTCATGTAGCTCTGGAAAGGGTAGAAGCCATCAGGGCCCTGTCTAGTATGGCTTCACCCTAGCGAAAGGAAAAGCAAATAATCCCATGGAGGATTATCATGTTGCAAAGTTTGCCCAGCTTCGGGAACATGAACTCGGACTTTTTGCTATATATGATGGCCATTTGGGAGATAGTGTACTATGTTATCTGCAAAAGCATTGGTTTTCCAATATCTTAGAGGATGTGAGTTCTCGATTAATCCAATATTAATAATTTTTGTAAGGGCTTAGGGGCTTTGGATACCACAGCCAAAGAGAATCATTCCTGTCAGTTAAATGTTGCATTCGGAAAGAGTGTCTTCTTTTATTATCGCCCCAACTTGCCTTATGCGGTACCGGGGATAATAAACTGAGATGATGGTTCTGTGATTCTTATTATTATAGAACCGAATTCCGGGCTGTGTTAATTGGTTGTTAAATTATGTCCTTTTCCCATATAATAACTTGCAGGAGGAATTCTGGACTGATCCTGGCAGGTCCATTTCTAAAGCTTATGAGAAGACAGACCAAGCAATTCTCTCACACAATCTTGACTCGGGTCGAGGGGGATCCACTGCTGTCACTGCAATTTTGATAGATGGGCAGAAATTATGGGTTGCCAATATTGGAGATTCGCGTGCTGTTCTCTCAAAGAAAGGGCAGGCGAAACAGATGAGTATTGATCATGAGCTGAACACAGAGCGCGGAAGCATCGAGAACAGAGGTGGCTTTGTCTCAATCATGCCAGGTTCTTGCACAACTCCTCTGTGCTTACATCTGATTTTCTCTTTGAGGAAAATTTGTTTCTAATATCACCGAGTGAAACTAATCAGCACTGTATCGGTTTAGTTATTGCTTCCGAAAGCAGATGAATCAGCACTAAAATTTTGTATGATAACGACTTACTGGTGCTGTTGTTGATTGATAATTGATCTTGTTGCATTCTTTCCCAGGGGATTTTGCGAGAGTCAATGGACAACTTGCTGTTTCTCGCGCTTTTGGAGACAAGAATCTTAAATCACACCTCCGATCCGATCCGGACATAAAAACTGCTGATATTGACTCGGATACCGAACTTCTCATCCTTGCAAGTGATGGACTATGGAAGGTGATCCAAATCTCTCTGTGTACGAACCAACAATTCCTAATTTGTTGTTTATTTGTTCTCAGTTTTTTGTATGCAAATGTATCCAGGTCATGTCCAATCAAGAAGCCGTCGATATTGCGAAAAAGGCAAAGGATCCTCTGCGAGTAGCTAAACAACTAATGGCCGAGGCATTGAACCGAGACAGTAAAGATGACATCTCCTGTATTGTAGTTCGTTTCAAGGGTTAAATGCGAATCCGGAAACACGACGGAAGAACAGTTCCTCGATGGCATAAAATACGACTCAATGGGTAAACACCAACTAGCAATCACATCAGAAAATGCATAATAATTAACGGTTGGTGTACGTTAACGTCATTGTATGTTATGCTTTGTTTTTTGTTTTTGCTCGAATTAGTACATCGATAGCATACCTTCAATAAAAAAATTAGTTGACTCTATTCCCATATATAATGGGGTGAGAGGGAGGTAAGGTAGTAGACTACCCCCAACGTCAGGTTGATAGCAGCTTCCGTGGAAGACCTCCGGCAGTCAAAATTATGACCGTGGGACTCGATCCCACGACCACAAGATTAAAAGCCTTGCGTTCTACCAACTGCGCTCTACCTTCAATGAAGCCCCTATAGCTCAGTGGTAGAGCGCCAGTCTTGTAAACTAAAGGTCTGTAGTTAGATCCTGTATGGGGGCAATATGCTTATGTTATTTTTTTATATAAAATTTAATAAAATCTTTAAGCATTAAACACTAAATGTGTTATTCCGTATTTAAAAATTTAAAAATAATTTTATAAAAATAAGTTCAAAGTTTTTGTGCTATTTGAAAATTTTTAAGAACTTTTATAAATTTTTAAAGATCTTATTTTTTTAATTTTAGGATTGTCATTTTTCCATACATAGGATATGTTTGGCCACCAAATCTTGATTATATAAAAATATTTCATATAATTATTAAAAAATTAATTGTCTGTACATGTTTGACAAACACAATGTATTAACATCTTTATTTTGCATTTAGTAGTGCAAAGTGTAATTGTATAATTATATAAGTTAAAATTTTTAAAATAATATTATTGAAGTAATTACATCAATTCTCAATTTTCACTAAGAATTAAAAATATATTTAAATATATCTACTTTAATGAGACTTATAAATTATGTTAATTATCCAAATATACATTATAAGAGATTTTCTAAACGCAACGTTATTACACGTGATAGCTTGTGAAGAAATCACATAGCATTTTTCAAACCGAAAATCCAGATTAATAATATGATGAATGAAATGAAAGTTTAGGGACAAATCGAGAGTGTGTATATAATACAGGGACCAAAACAGATATTAAACCTTAAAAATATGTGAACGGTCAACAAAATTTCCATACCTAGAAAAGCCGGTTCTGGTCTTCACGGTATCAAAATTTAATTTCTCTTCGACAAACAAACCCTTAGTTAAAACCCTCCCAAAACCCTTTATTTCCGTTTCCTTTTTCCTTTCTCTTCGAATCCGATCATGTCTAAAACGCTGAGTCTAATCAAAGCCAATGCTTCCAACCCAAAGGTGTGGATTGTGGCGGGAATAACGGTGGCCGGAATCATAGTAGTGGCGGAGACGCGTAGGAGGAGGAGAAAAGCGATGATCATCAATAGAGAGGATTTTGGCGCTTTCCTCGAACGCTTCGAGTTGATTCCTTTCCCACAGCCTCCACCACCCGCCGCCAAACTTCCGTTATCGGGCCTCACGTTTGCTGTCGAGGACATGTTCGTAATTCCATCACTTTGTCTTTCCTCTTGGTTATGTTTTCTGTCGTATTTTATTTATTTCTCAATGGTTTTTACAGATTTGACGTGAAGGGTTACGTGACGGGGTTTGGGAATCCTGATTGGCGGAGAACACACGAACCTGCTGATCGGACTGCGGTTGTGATTACTGCTTTGTTGAAAAGCGGGGCTAAATGTGTTGGCAAAACAGTTATGGACGAACTGGCTTTTGGGTAACCTTTTATTATGTTTTTATTTTTCTCTAGGTGGAATGTATTTGTTAAAATGTAATCAGTGTTCTTTTGCCCCCCTTTTTTGTTAAATATTAATAGAATGACGGGGGAAAATAAGCATTATGGAACACCTACAAATCCGACCATGCCGTCGCACCTTCCGGGAGGTTCTTCAAGTGGTTCTGCAGTGGCAGTTGCTGCTGAACTTGTGGACTTCGCTCTAGGTAATTTCAGTCCTCGACATTTCTAAGTAATCAATAAACAGTTCCCCAACAGCGTTTCCCATTGTAGTATGCTCTTTTCTTTTGTCTTTTTTTAATGATTAATTAGTTCCTAAAACGAAGCCTGGGATTTCATAGCCTTTTTTGACGACTTTATAGGTACGGACACAATTGGCTGCATGAGGATTCCATCCGCTTTTTGTGGTATTATTGGGTTCCGACCATCTCATGGAGCCGTATCTACGATTGGAATTGTTCCCGTTTCACAAAGTTTGGATGCTATTGGTACTGTAATACAGCTTTCTTATTTAGATTGTTAAGATGTTTGTTGTCCTTCCATGCTGATCATGGCTGTTGATATTTTTAGCTAGTATGAATTATAATTATACCAACTCACTTTGCCTTCACCTACTTTTTATTTTTACTGAAGTGTGTCCATCTGAATGTGTGATCTATTAACGGATTGATACCACTTTGATAAAGAAGTGCAGTGCCCCTCTCGGTTTTATGGCAGACATTGCCTTTTTCAAGATTTCCTTTTTTTCCCTTTTTACTGATTTTGTTAAATTATCATGTCTAAGGATGTTTTGCTCGTGATGCATCTATTCTACATCGTGTTGGACATATTTTACTTCAACTAAAAGCGGTGGAACCTAGAAGGGGAAGGCAGCTTGTCTTTGCCGATGACTTATTCCAGCTCTCAAAGGTTCCCAGCCAAAAGACGGTGCATGTTGTTAGCAAAGCAGTTGAAAAGCTTTCTGGATGTAAGTTTCACGGCCGTCAATTTTATTCATACCAGTTGCATATTTTTTTGGTGTGAAAATCCTGATCATAGTCTGCTGCTCCCTCTCCTGTTTCAATGGTGTGAATCTTACTTCCTGATGTGTCTACCTCTTGTTAATTGCACAGACCAGCCTCCAAAGCATGTCAACTTTTCTCTTTTTGTTACTTCAAATGTACCTAGCCTGAAGGGTTTTCTTCAGCATTCCACAAACCTACAAAATGGAATTTCTGCTTTGCTGGCTCTTTCTTCTGTCATGGTGTCATTACAAAGGTATTTGAGAATAACTCGTCATTACATGCCGGAGCAGATACCTCTTCCACCAGCTTCACTTATTGTAATCCTTCAATTGGGATATTATAATAATCATTGTTGTGCGGAATATTTGTTTCTGGGTTTGTAGACAGACCAACACTCCTAATGTCTTGTAGCTTTACTTTTCAGATACGAGTTTAAAACAAACCATGAAGAATGGTTTAAAGATGTTAAACCAAGATTAGGACCTGAGGTTTCTCATCGTGTTCTCGCTGCAATGAACACTACGTATGAGAATATAAAAAATATGTACAAAGTCAAGACTCAGATACGGGCTGCTATGCAAAGTCTTCTAAAGGTGTTGCAGATTCTTCTCCTACTTCCCCTTTCCTTTTGCTTCTATTTTGTTTCCTTTTTTTTATAGTTAATATATACAGTAATACAAGTAAGTTTCCCCGTTTATTGCCAGGACTGCTTTGTTATGGTTAATTACTGTTACTGTTTTTGATAAGAATGTCAACCATATACAATAATACAAATAAGTTTACCTGTTTATTGTCAAGACAGCTTTGTTACTATGACAACTTCTTAGAATGATCTCGTCTTGTAATTATAAATGAAAACATAGTTTTTGCTTTTTTAATATGAAACAGGGCCAACTACCATCTTATTATGAATTTGAACCTAAAACTTGATATTTGAAAAATTGTTGCCATAGATGAAATGATAGAACCGGCCAGAAGAATAACACGGGAGATTGATAGAATTGATTGAATCAAGATTTATATATATATATATATATATATATATGGCTGGTGTACATTAACAGCGTAACACTGTTTAATTTGGGTTTTACTTTCATGGGTCCAAAAGGCTAGGATGTTAGGACACAGCCTGGAATTGGATTATCTCAATTAACCAAGTTGTCCTCTTTCGTTTCAGGATGATGGGATATTAGTGATTCCCACAATTGCAGATCCTCCACTAAAGCTTAATTCAAAGAAAGGATATTCCACGGAGTTTCATGACAGAGCATCCACGCTATTGAGCATCGCTAGCATGTCTGGGGGATGTCAGGTGGCTTTTGATGTTACCAGGCTTAAGTTTTCAATCTTGTAAGTTGTTTTGTAGCTTGGATATCAGTCTTTTATTTAACCTTACATTCTCTTTCCAGGTCTCTGTCCCATTAGGAAAGCATGATGGTTGTCCTATTTCAGTTTCATTTGTCACATACCATGGAGCAGATAAATTTCTTCTTGATACAGTTTTGGATATGTATGCTTCTCTGCAAGACCAAGTGAGCGTTGCATCCAATTCAGCACCATTGCCTGATGTCAATGGTAATATGGATGCTTCTGAACTCTTGAAGGAAAAGGTTTTACCAACATCTCCCAATATCTGAATTGATTGATTTGCCAAACCAAATTTCTGCCAATGTGAACAGTGCCATGGAGTTTATTTATTGATGGAATCAGTTTGCACTGGTCTGATTATGACTCATCCGAATGATATCTTAATTTGTATATTTGTATTGTTTTCCATTCATAAGTTGTTTTACACTAGTCGAGAAACAGTAGGAAGAATGCCTTGTAACTTGGATGGTTGAGTTCTTGAACCTGTAAAGAAATGATGGTTAACTGCTATTTCTCGCTTTATCACTTGTTCAACTTCTTTCTTTATGTTGCAACATTTCTGAGCAATGTATCCAAGCCTCTCGTGTGTTTGTGATATGTCATTTCTTCTTAAGTTCATTAATAACAACTGTGACCAGGATCAAGAGTAGAATTTTCAGCACAAAATGCTAGTAGACCTTTTTTTTTTTTAAAGTTTCGGTGTCTGGAGAATTAGAACTTGTTATAATTTAAATTAGTATGTTCTGATTTTTATGAGTTTTAGTCAAGGAAAGGTCTGCTGTTACGAGTTTTTTCATGACAAGTTCCATTTCAGGGAAATGCTGCATTTAAGGGAAAGCAATGGAACAAGGCAGTTAATTACTACACTGAAGCTATTAAGTTGAATGAGACAAATGCGACATACTATAACAATCGGGCAGCAGCTTTCTTGGAACTAGGATGGTATAGTGTCTCTAAGATTTGTTGCCACTTTTTATTGCTTTCTTTTCGGTTCACATACTTCCGAAACGAAACTGATTTTCATATATGCAGCTTCCAGCAAGCTGAAGAGGACTGCAATAAAGCAATATCACTTGACAAAAAGGTAATTTAGAATTTATAAAACATGTGACTGTCAATGGTGGTCTTCAATGAAATATCTATCTTTTAAACTTGAAATGTTGAACTTTTTTATGCACGCATGAGAAAAAAGCTGCCGCATTCGAGTGATGTTATTAGTCTGAGTAATAACTCTTTTGCGCAGAATGTGAAAGCATATCTGAGACGTGGGACGGCCAGAGAATCACTACTCTGTTATAAAGAGGCCCTTCAAGGTGATTATAGTTTATGGTGCTTATTATACTTTGCTTGTGATAAGAGACTCTTTTCCTCCCATATGACTAAAATTATTGATAAATACAACTAATTATGCATTTCCGGTTTTTCTTTTATTCCCTTTTCTCTTTCGTCTAAATTATGGAGTGTTTGGACTTAGATTTGGGATAAAGATGGGAAAATTAGTTTAGATAGTAGAATTCCTATTCCTCATCATTTTGGTAGGTTCATTCTGTTCGTACCGGGTTTCCTACCTGATGTGGGTATAATTCAATCATACATAAGGAATAAATTTCATGGAGCATCTTGCAAATAGTTCTTCCGGATACAGAGTGATGGACGTGTATGGGTGTAAACAGATTTACCCTTTTATTTGGAGCCCAAACTCGTTTATATGGTGTTCAAATCTTTAGTAAGTGTGAGATAGTTGAAGATAGTTTAATAATTTATCCTAGAACAATTTTCTTTGTCCCCGTTGCGATCTATTTGCATCTTATAGTTTTCGAATTCAACCCATAGTCTTAAGCAGCGTTTTGTTTTTGGCATTTGCAGATTTCAAACACGCACTGGTTCTAGAGCCACAAAATAAAGTTGCTAGCCTCGCAGAGAAAAGATTAAGAAAACTGGTTAGTTGATACACCCCTTCTCTGCTTCTTATATTGTCTAACGAATATGAAAGAGCGTCGATCAAAGATATGTGCAATCTTTGTGCAATGTCGGCCCTTTGGATAAACTAAAAATCGAAGTAAAAAGCACATATCGTTTAGAGGGTGCCGACTGTTGCAGGTTTTGGCCGTAATTTTAGTTTTGGAGACATTGTTTCTTTGTAATGAATTCATGTTGGATTTGTTCAATGTTGTTGAGAGACACCAATCCAATGAAAACTTATTCAAGTGCTATATTCATGTTGAAAAGGAAAAAGAGTGTAATATCAGTTTTATACCCTGTTTGCTAGGATTACTTATTATTTTTACGCATATCTAAAGGTATACGAGTTATCTCTGTAATTGTCATTCACATGACTTGGTCTGAACAAAGAGATTATTTTACTTATTTTGAAGAAGTTACTAGAATTTTTACTCATCCTTCTTATTTCAACTGTGTATTTGGAATAATTTTTCTTTATTGTGTTAGAACCAAACGAGGCATGATGAGTTTGTATTGTTCGGGAAAATGGGAGATGTGAGAAATTAAAGGGTAAATTATATCCGGGATCACTTAGTCATGGAAGAATATTAATCTAACCATTGATTTTTTTAAAGTTTTTTTTCAATCAGATCACTTAATTATTTGAATGTTATCAATCAAGTTGTCTGTTGTTAATATTTGATGGAGTTGACATGATAGTTAATAAAATTGGTGTAATTATACAATTAGTCTTTATTATTTATATATATATTTTTAAATATTACAGATATAACTAAAAATATAATCCAAGTTTGTAGAATACAATCCATTGTATGCTTCTATCGAGATGGTGAGAAGATCTTAATTTCCATATGGCATGGAAACATGAGGAGGGTTTTCCAAAGTTCAAGTAGCAAAGATTCACTGAACATTTTCTACGCGGAACGTGGCAACGTCCAATGCAGGGCTTTGAACATATGGTGATTTTATTTTCTAGAAGCTCTAAGTTTGACCCGAGTGTTAATTTTTATTAATAAAATATTAACATGATTTAAAAAAATAATAATAAAATACTAAACAGGATTAAATATGTTATTGTCCTTATTTAAAAATAATAATTTAATGACTGACTTAGAAGGTAATTTATCATTTAAATTTTTTATATTAATTTCTTTTATGTATTTTAGAAAACAGTATTGGGTTTGATGAATCATTCATATGATGATAAGCCTCTGCGGTCCACGAAACCACCGTCTAAAAATGGAAAACAAAATCATCTGTTTCCGTTCCCACCCACCAATCCCTAATCCCTACGCTAAAATCACGCACTTTCAGACGAACACAAGCACCAAAACCCAAAGACGTCATCCCTTTCTCTGTTTTTCTCTGTTCCTTCTTTCCCGCTTCGAATATTCTCTCCATTGGAACGATTAAGAAAACCTAACCCCCCTCCTCCCCAGAAGAAGAAAATACCATGGACACGGACATGGACATGGTGGAGAACGCGCCATCCATCATATCCCCTTTGCTCCTCCGGTTCATGGCGTCTCCGGCATTCATTAATGCCGACAAATCATTCTTCAACTTAGCTGAAAGATTCAAGCCCGTTGAAATCATCCGCTACCTTCTTATTTCGTCTTTTCTCCTCTTCCTTCGCTTACTTTCTTTCTTTTCGTCTCCGATTTACCCCCTAAATCCCAACCCCAGTTTTCTACGTTTGATCCCCTGAAAGGAAACGATCGTTACGCGGTTACTTCTGGGGTTGACGATTCGGGGATTGCTCGAGCGCTCTCGCAGGTACTGTCTATTGTTAATGATATTCCCGTTAGTTCGAGGAAGTATGCGATTGTTCGATCTTTAGCCGAAAGACTTATAGAAGAGAATCGTAGGGCAGATACCCATGGTTTGCGTGAAGTTAACCGATCGGTTTTGTCTTCTGCTTTTTCGAGGACCCTTTGCTGCCTCGAGGCTGCAATGGTTGAATCGGGGCAAGATAGGGTTGGTTTTCTTGATGGTGCTGGACCTGCTCCGGTTCAGTATTTGGTGAAAAGGGTTTTAAGGACGGTTCGATCGGTTGGGGATGGGGTTTGGTCCAGGGGAGGAGGACACGGTAACGGGAGTGAGGATGTGAACCGGTCTGGGAATTCGGCTGAGAAGCTGGCTGCTGAGCTTCTTTGGTTGGCGGAGAAGATGGTTGCCTGTGGGTTTGTGGAAGAAGCTGTTGAGCGGTGGGCATCGGCTTCAAATCTGGCTTCGCTTTCTCTTCTGGCTGAGCCACGGGTTCAGGGTTCCCTGGTTAGGGTTTCGGGTATGTTTCCCCCTTTCCTCTCTGTTAAATTTGTAGATTTGAATAACGATGTCGATCATAGTATTACTGTCTCCGTTACGGTTGTGGTGTCCCGATTATGAATATTTTATGTTTTTATATTAAGAATGTTATTATGATGTTGCGACGACATTGGAAAATATTATGATGCGACCGTTATTTAAGACTATTATATTGATTAACAAAATATCGATGTTAAATCTGAATATGTTCGATTTTTGAAATATTACACTGATGTTCTTACCTTTTTTGTGATGATTCAAATGTGCAGCGTTCTTGTTCAAACAAGCAAGGGAAATGGAGCTGGCAGCTGAAGAAACCGGAGAAGGCAACGAGGAGAGCCGGAGGCAAACGAAGATGAAGATGCTAAAGTCATGGTTGCCATTACTCTGCAGAGCTAGCAATGGCACTGATGTGCCGGTGCTCGGCATCAGCGAAAGAGCTGAGCTAGAGAAGGTCTTGGAAGAGAGCATAGGAAGGCTAGAACACGAGGAGCAAGAGCAGGTGCTCTCCCTATGGCTCCACCACTTCGCGTATTGCCCGTCCTCCGACTGGCCTAACCTCCATGCCTCGTATTCTCAGTGGTGTACCGATTCTCGCAAGCTCTTGCTCCTCCATTGAAGATGTGAACCAAAAGAATCAGCTTGTATAATACAAGGATAGGACTATTGATCATCATGATACAATTATCCCATGTATAACTATATTGTTTTGGTCTTGATTCGAATATATCCATAACATATTGCAAGAGGTTTCATTATACGAGGGTGGGATACTTGTGCAGTATTTACAATGATATTAGACATGACATAAACATGTCGAAATCTATATGATATAAATATAATACATGATAAACACGTGATAATATAAACTATTATTACAAAGCCAGATAGTTGTAGTCAATCTTTGGATAATGAGTGGCAACATGTCACCTTCGAAGGTGATGCAATGTCGATAGTTAACAGACTGAACAATTGCCACGAAGATCTGTCGGTTATTGGCCTTTTACTCAACGAGGCCTATGAAACCCTTGCAAATAAACCAGTTCAGAATAAACCAGAGTTCAGAACTAGATATGTTAACCGAGAGGCTAATAGGGTGGCGCACTGTTGCTCAATGGGCTTTATCGAGAGAGAATTCATTTTGGTTTTATTACGACGAGCTGGATTGTATCAAATCTATTGTACTACTTGACGCCATTGGCATTGAAAGTTGCATTTTAATAGAAAAAAAAGTAGGCAATCTTTGCTCTTATATCACATGTAGATAAGGCTGTCATGGTCTGCTATGTTTCTAGTCAAATCAGTTGGACCGATCGAAGTTTAAATTAAATAAGGCACACAATTACTGAATTATTTACCAGAAACCACCTAATGACGATGACTCTTTCCATGGATAACCATATGCTCACAGGTTTGCTGACATGAATCTTGATCTGGTGTTCTGTCAGTCATGTCATCCACCGTTCCCGAATCACTTGAAGGCGAATCAGAATTCATTGCATGAGCAGAGGTAGATGCAGGAATATCCGTATTAGGAACAGTGTTCGATTTATCAGGACTTGATCCTTCATTGAGTTCATATGTAGGCACAGAAGTACTAGTTTCAAGAATTGAATTCTGTGCAATTTCGATTAATGCATCCATTTTCGAAATCCTCGTAGGAACCTCTTGCTTAGTTGCAATCTCGGTTATCCTCGGAAGTTTCGTTAAACCAGGTGAATCTTCGATTCCTCCCACAAAGTTCCTAACATGGATCCCTACATGGCCATTGTATCTACGTCGTTCATGAAATACCTTATGACAGAACTGGCATTCAAATTTCCTGTCTCTAAGTATCACGCCATCCCCAACAGGAGAACCACGCCGGTACCTCCTCGTAGTCCTCAGGTGAAATGACAAAAGGTGCAGCAAATATGCATCCTTCTCATCAAATGTCATATTGCATTTACGACATAAAAAAAAACCATGTATTTCAACTTCAGCCAGGTTATCCATTCCCAGTAAGTTGACTTCCTTCTAGCGTTGTGCAGACGGCCTTCGATCATCGTCTTTCTGGATAGCACCTTCCTGCTATTCCATGAACACATCGAATATTGTTAAGTATTTCTTTTGCAAAATTCTGAAAATTTTCAGTATAATATGGTACAGATAAAATCTCTTAGATCGGCTTAGAATTTTTAAACTGTGGGGCCGCCTTGTTACTGTACATTCCTTGAAAAATTTCTCAAACTATTTGGCATATAGTTCTTATTGCTTAAATTTCATATCTGCGGTAAATAAATGGATTTCTGAATTGATTGCAAGTGCCACTCAGAAAATGACGAAGCAAAAGGAGGAAAGGTACGTTCACCTTTTTTCACATATTTTTTTATAGCACAATAAAGTTTGCAAAGCATTGAACCTGATTAACAATGAAACTTATCTAAAATTATCCTAGACTGAATCTATTGAGCGTTTTTGGTGATGGAAGGGAGTGTTATTCTCCCTTGAGGTCGTGGGTTTGATCAGTTGTGTTTGTAGGGTGTGTTGTCAATGGTTAAAAAAGATTATGAACAAATACTAGTTTGTAATTACTCGGACTATTAAAAAATTATATGAGACTTAAGGAATATTTAAACTAAAAATGTGGGTAAAGGTTGAATTATCTAGTTTCAATACTAGTAAGTGTTCGAAAAATAATTGAATGAATTGATACTATAACTAATTAATAATAAGTGATGTCACTTGATGAATGAACTTAATTTTTGGTTTAAAGTTACATCCATTTAATCATACCTCTTCAACAATTCTCTTCATGAAAATATTAAATCCTTTCATGAAAATATTAAGCCCTTTCATCAGAAGGATAAGTCATTTAATCTAAAGGTTAAGTCCTTTCATCGAAAGTTCCTAACCCCTTCAATCAATTTCTTCACCTATAAATAGGTTAGTTGAGGCACAATCTAAGACACAACTTTGAGACACAATTCACAACGTTGAATTAGGGAAACACTTAGAAAATTCCTTCCAAATTCGTTCTTTCCAGTGATAGAAAAAGATAATATTGTGTTCGACTGATCACTATGGTTGTGCTTACTATTGTGATCGTTTGTTGTTGTATCCTGGGAGACCGATGTCCAACGATAGTTAAAACACCGAGGAGAGGACGAATATGTCTTAAGGAGATGTTCATACATGCCTCAACAAAATTCTTCTTCTGATTTCTAACACCGTTACCTATACACGAGTAACAAATCACATTCCTCTATTTTAATTCTTTATTTATTTGTTTCGTTTGATTATATAATAATATTTATTTATTTATTATTATTATCTCGGATTAACATTTTATCTAACAGTATGTACCTAATAAATAATTACACCCTAAAAGTTGGAGGAGACCAACCCCTTCCCAACCCTAAAATAATTATCAAAGGATAGACATGAGGTTCGAATTTAACGAGCTTTGATCTATCCTAATTTTATAAGATTAAATTTTATTGTATATGGAAAATTCGAGTTCATGTTATGCCACAGGTGAAAGGTATACTACCTTAATCGAATCCCACCTGCTAAAGGAAAACATCAACTATCAGCAACAGCAGAACAGAGTAAAAAAAAAGTTCATAATAAGATATTCTTTTAAAATAGTATCGAATTTATTTTTAATATTTTTTTATTTAAAATTTATTAGAAATTTGAACGTCATTTGACACACATTTCTTTAAGTGACTCTGCTTTTACATTCATCCATATAATATTATGGATTTATGCAAAATAAAATAGAACTCTCTGTCTCTCTTAAGAAATATTATTTAACAAATTTTATATATTTTTATAAAATAGATTTTACATTAATAGTAGTGTTCAAGGAGACTTCATATTCGTTTAGAATTTTTAAAATATAAAAATATATAAATTTTGTTAAATAACATTTTATAAGAGAGAGAAATAGAGTTGTATTTTGTTTTGCATAAATCTATTTATTCAATAAATAGATTTAATTGCATCTTACGCCCCTAAATTATGACACTGTTTAGTGCGATCCTTTGGGCAACATGGAATAGAAGAAATGAAAGCATATTTAAACCGGACATGATAGAGAGCAAGTCAATTTTCGACAAAGGAAAACGAATAGCACTAGATATCATCAAAGCGAGAAACGATCCTACCACAAGAAATAGCCGAGCTAAGACAAGAACCACGATCTGGCAACCACCAGAACACCAATGGTGCAAAATAAACACAAACGGAGCTAGAAACACCATCTCGGGTCGATCGGAACACCAAGGGCGAATGGCTATGGGGATTCGCTAAGAAGATTGGCTTCTATTCCACACTCGAAGCGGAGCTCTGGGGAATGCTGGAAGGTCTACAAATTGCATGGCATACAGAAACTGATTATCATAGAATCAGACAGTAGAGAGGCGGTTAGATTACTCCAAGAAGGAACCTCTGAAGATAAGCAACTCACAATTTTCCACCACATTGAGAAGCTCATTAATCGTGATTGGATGGTAGTTTTCAACCATATCCCAAGAGAGGTGAATAAGGTCGTAGACCTCATCACCAAGCAGGCATGGCAAATCAACAATGGAATGCATGTTTATCACCAGCCGCATGAAGCAGTGATAGATAGTCTCAACTCAGATGGGTTAGGCATAGTTAGTTATTATTGCATAAAAAACCTTAATAATTAAGGTTAATATTACATTTCATAGACTAGGTAACGATTTCCCTAACGAAATTATCTTAAAAGTGATTACTGGCACTATCTCTTCTCTTCATCAGGAGGTGTTGCTGATGGATTAACCATGATCTGCACTCTTTCCTTGTGAGTCACCGACCTGAATTTCGCAACCATCGGTTTCACCTTCTCGGTCATCTTGACGATGACCGAGAACAAAAGCCGATAGAACACAACCATTGCGAACAAGATGGCAAGATCAACCCATTTAGTGTATTCCATCTCTAAATGCCATTTATGCTTCAAGATTTCTTCACCACTAATCGTGGTGCTGACCCTCCAAATCCACCTTGTACATTAGGGAATGTCATGCCTTCAAACTCGTTCTTGAACAATCCCTGGTAAGCATACTTATGGAAAGCGATATGGTACAATGGATATTTCAAAACCGGCTTCGGAAGATCGGTCGGTAATCGGAAGAATCCGCCGACCAGAATCATTAGGCCTTGAATTCCGGAACCTACTATGATTCCCATCAGGAAATTGGGTACCAAACTGGCGACTATCATCATTAAGCTCTCCACCAACATCATGCAAGCGAATAATACTGTTACGAAGAAGAAGAAGTGTTGATATCCCTTGTGAAGTCCCGGAAGGAAATAAGTAATTGCGCCTGGAATAAGTGCCACCATTGCCAAGAATGGCAGTGCAGATAATGTGTTTCCAATGACAAAGGCAGTCACTCCATAGTGGCCGTTTAGTCTTTCGCGTTCAAATATCTGAGAAAAAAATTAATATTTGATGGACCGACAATACAATCGTCTAGTAAAATTCGATGAAAACAATCACAAACCTTCATTTCCTCTACAAAAGAAGGGAATCCACCAATGGCCATGAAAGTTAGAAATGATGCCACAAACATCATCAGTGAACCTCTAGCCTGAACCGATTCATAGTCCATCCCAATGTGGCTAAACACGGTGCCGATGACAACGGATAACGTGATATAGATACACAGACGCATCCAATAGTAGCCGAGATCACGAGACATGTTAGTGAAAGATCTTCTA